ATTTCCCTACAAAATATTTCGTCTAGAAAATTTTGTTCAAGAGAAATTGACATCGATCGAAATGTTATATTCTGAACGTTTAGCTTTACAGCGAACAAAACAAGCTATTAAATATAGCGTTATTATAATACCACGATTTATCGATTCAATTAGAAAACAAATAAATAAAAAAACAAATTTAAGAATACTAGATGTCACAAATTTTCCTGTTGTAGAATTGATATTGCGGTATATAGCAACACATTGTAGATTGGCTGAAAAAGAGACACGTCGAAATCAATTAATCGATATCTTCAATAAACAACATGAACAAAAATATTTGAAGGAAGAGAATGACACTGAAATCAACCATAACAACGACGAGATGATGTTAGGTGAAGATGGTAAGTATTTAGCGTAAGATTGTAATTCTTTTTTTAATTTAATTTTTCTTTTAAGAATATGATAATAAAAAATTGCTCAATGATGGAAGTGAAAACATTGATTTGACGAAATCATCATCCTATCCAGATGACACTGTCATCATTCGATTTGATTGTATCATTCAAGATTATCGTACATATGTTGAATTATTATCGGCATTACAAGTATCAACAACCAATATACAATTACAGATATGTACTATTGATATGAGATGTATTGGTTTAGCATTAGTATCAAGTTTTTTAGATCATGTCAATAAACAGGTAAAAGTGTATGCTAATTACTTGAACGTCTAACAAAACGTTTCGTTTTTCAGAATGAGACAATGTTAGTCTAAACATCAAAATCTATTTTTCGTTTCATGAAACGATTGTTTTCTGAACTTCATGTTTTGTTTTGTTTTTTATTTTAGTTTGTTCAAGTGTTACGCGTTCCTTATAATGTTCTAACGTTGAACAATTTAGAATTTTTATTATTACGTTTACCATTACTCATTAATCTTCATACATTAGATTTATCATGTAATTTTATTGATTTTCGTCTTAATAATGATATATTAGAACAGTTTTGTTCGTGTCTTAAACAATTAAAATTGTTAAAAAATCTATCATTAAGTGGTTCGCCTATCAGTAATCGTTTGGAAAAGATTTTAAATTCATTTGATCGATCATTGGATGTGTTAAATTTAGACTTTTGTTCACTATATGAAAATGATATACAATCATTGATTAATACAAGTACGCTCCATCAATATCTTCATTTAGATTTAGGTACAAATCGTTTAAATCGTTATATGAAACAATTATTATTACTTTTAATGAAACAAAAACAGCTAATTGTTCTAGAATTAGATTATAATCGTTTTTCGAGTAATGATTTTTTAGAATTAATAGCTTGTTGCCAACGATTAACAAATTTAAAATGTTTAAATGTTCGTGGACCCAATTCATTGACAACATTGTTAGCTGCTGCCACATTTATTGGTGAACAGTATCATGGATTAAAATCATGGAAAATAGCATCACCTATTGAGTATTCAATGGCACAATCAAGTAATGAACAATATCAAACAAGCATAAATACTATCATGCCGTATGATGTATTTGTTCATGAAATACAAAAACGTTCAAAATGTTTTGTATCAATAGCTGAATTAACGCTATAAAAAACGAGTACTACAGTCACTTGTCAAATGAACAGTAAAATAAAATAGAAGTTGTTAATGAAAAAAATAACAATCAGTTATGAATACAGATGAATAATTGTCTATTAGTAGTAGTTTGATTAACAGTGTAAAAATATGTAGTAAGCAACTTCATCTTAGTTTTGTAAAAATACCAATTAAGATTGTTTAACAAAACTGTTTTTGACAAATAAGCATGACTAACAGTAAGTGCAGAATCACATTACTAGATACTATGAGATTGCATAAAATTCAGATTGTCAAAGAAAATGTCTACATGTTCATGACTATATTAAAAATCATATATATACGACTAGACCTAGTTAAGGGGCTCTTCTTACAGTTTTTCTGCTCAAAGAAATAAGTGAAACAAGTTATTTTAAAACTTTATGCTTTGCTTTAATTGACTTCTTTTTCTGGATACTTTCAGATTATTTCTGCTTGTTTTGCACATTCCTGCCTGTTTGATTTGACTCGATTCAATTTTTCGACTAATTCTTTGTATTTTTCATTTCTCTTTGAACAAAACTTTTCACTTC